AAGGTCACCATGTGTGGGTCCCCAAAACCGGTAGCTATGGGCAACGAAAAAACGTATTCATTGAAATAAAGACGATGTGAACTGTTAAGGGAAATCACTATCAAAGAACTATACATACATTTTTTCCCCACTTTTAATTAAAGGTGAAACATAATGCCCAAACATAATTGGCAATTAGCAGCGCGCTTTGTCTAGATTAGTACAACTTTTGCGCTACGCTTGTAATTGGATATAGTAACTGAAAAATGTAAAAGGAAAGTTTTTACGCGCCACTCCCGTATAATTGGACGGTGCGCGTCATTTCTGCGGTCTGCTATCGATCGAGACTGCTGGGTTCATTTGTATTAAAAAATTGAAATGTAATGTATTTATTTATGAATTACTCAAACCTTTGAGAATTTGTCTCTTTAATTTTTTTTCAAAGTTTTGTTGATGGGTAAGGGGATTTTTTGTCGCTTAGATCTGTCTTCAAACAGACTTGCTATTAACAAATCGTACTACCGCGTTTACTCAAATACGCGAATCATTCGTATGTTTATAGAGCGAATTTGACTGCACTCGGAAATACTGTAAACCTTTTAAATATGTGGCATTGTCACACAGGAGAGTAACACGCCCGCTTCTTTTCTCAGCGCGTGTTCAGCCTTTTCGTACATTTTCCGTTTTCGATTGTGAATTTTGAGCGACCACATTTTATACGCTCCGACCCCTGGGTTATCGCGTCACCCACACGCCACATCACACTTATGAAGTGATTAAGAATTACCGGGTCTTGGTGCTTGATATCTTGAGCCGTCGTCTGAAGGCCGCTTCTCAAAGTACTTTTCACAATTCTTAGAGTTGCGGCAGCAGTCTTCGTACGGCACCTTATCATGGAAGAAATGGGATATCACAGGGAGACCAGCATTAGGATGAACGCGGTCAAGGGACCCCGCGTCTGGTTGGCCCACCATTAAGTTTCCAAACTTGTTAAAGCAGCACTGCTGACCAGAGCCTGTGGCACTATGGAAGAAGAAAGTAAATCAATGCTCTCGCTCGATATCTATTCGAACGAAGACAAGAGATACTGGGTCCTGTGAATCAAATCGAGGCAAAGTTATCTTTCGTGTTACAACTCTGCACTGATTAGCCTCTCTTTCCTGCTTATGAGTTCCTTTCTTTCGTTGCACAGCGGGGCTTCTTAAAAACAGCAGTTAGAAAAGACGATTTTGATATCTCACTGCATTTCCTCAGGGCTCTTTGCCAGTAAGCTTCTACTAAACTAAAATTAAGCATAACTGACCTGGGATTGACCATTAAAAAACACTGGAAAGCTCCCTTGTGGTATCGATCACATCCATCGCGATTTTGGGGATTGCATTCCTCATCAGACATGAAGCGCCCGCGATCTACCATAGCCTGAGTCAACCTCAAAGGGCATGGCTGCATGCTGGGATCCCCTTAATGATGGAATACAACAGTATAATTCAAAATCCTCCTCGCCTTGTCACTACTTTCACCTGCTCAAAAACTACCCGCTAACGTTAAGCATGCAGGAACGTTTTTTTAAATGCGAAATAGGAGGGTCTTGCCATCACTCTGTTGGAATACTAACCCATGTTTAGCCCCACAATCCTCTATAGGAGTTTACGTTGGTCTTTGAAGTATGAAAAGTTTAGCAGCATTGCTAATCCTTTCGGATGGCAGCTTCTAGGTTCTTCTGACGGCTATATAGCGCCCATTTACACTCGCTTCTTTTCAGAGAAAGGGAATACGAGAGTGAAGAATCATTCCAAATGTGCTAATAACGAATTGCCACAAGGACGCTTACAACATTTTGACGTGCTGTGGATTTCGAGGCCGAAGCTGATGACTGAAAAATCATCTTCTAGGAAAATGGTCCTAATTCGAGTTAACTTCAGCGATAACCAAATTCGAATTTTTGAGGCTCTTCCGTTTGAATCCGGACTTTAAGACACAAAATTAAGAAACATCGATAGATCAGTCCTAAACGCGACTGTGTGGGAGAGCATATTTTCCGATAACAACACGTTAATCTGTTTCTTCCCGAAGACATATGGAATTAAGGTCTCTAATAAATACCTCTGAATGTGTCTGGATTAGGTTCCTTCTGATGCCATTTGTTACATCTTTCTTCAGCCACCGGCGAATTCTTCCAAGAAAACACTCCACTCCACACCCACTGAGACTTAGACACGTTGCTGTAGCTGTTTTTTCTTGACACTCGAACAAGATTGATAAAACGATCATCAATGTTCCTACAAAATAATAGTGGAACAAGAGGATTAGCTTTGAGAAAAAACACCCAAGCCAATCATTGTCTTACGTATCTTTCGAAATCAAGGGCCTGAATTTTTTGGTATGGAGTAGAGGAACATAAATCTTGCTCCTTTCTTTTTACTCGCACGACAGAGTTCGCAAAAAGGGGGACTGCTTGTAGGCTTTTTGTTCCCTTACCGAGTGATAGGCCCATCTTTTTTAAGGGCCCGGCGCAGTGATTTTAAAAAAAGTATGGCTGAGTAAGCTTAAAGAGACCATACGCAGCTACTGCGTCAAACACCAAAGCACATCCAATCTTGACATAGCGACACACTCGACCAGTGACAGTTGTGTGCATTCTCAGCTGCTTCTGGCATCTTTTCCTCAGTTGGCCATGTCGGTTCTTTTTTGATATCCATCGGTTCAGTTTTTCTTACATTTCTATGACGGTAGAATACAATTTGACCCTCACCGCAGCATCTTTCTTAAATATCTCTTTTACGGCTTCAGCTTTCAGCCGAAATGTTTCCGCGTTTTTTTCTTTTTTTGCTTGGTAACACATTTCTTCGACAGCGTCCAAGTTGTCAAAGTACTTGTCAGCATTCTT